TATGCTTCCTCTGTAATATTGAAAGACTCAAGCACCACTACCATCTGCAACTAAGAAACAAGGATCTAACAGATTTTGATCAGGCAGAACAGCTGCAAGCAGCTTGCTTATCACAAAGAATAACTCTGCTCCTCTGTTACAGAGGTCATACTACGTCCTTGCTTCAGGACAGTGTCACAACTCACAAAGCAGAGTGAAAAGAGGAACATAGTGAGATCAATGTCACCAAGAAGCAAACTTGAGGTCTAAAGAGTGCCACTTTTAAAGGTCCACATTCAAGCCTGAACTTGATCTTGCATTCTACTTGTTCAATGCAGAGCTCAGACATTTTTCCTTTCCCCCTCTCTGTCAAAGGCATCCTTACATGATCTAAGTCAAAAAACTGCCTTAGGTCATGTTTATCCCCCATCAGTTAAACTGATGTAGGTAATTTTGTACATATTCTTCACCTCTGTCCTTTATGAAATGGACTGTTGTATTTCAAAGCTATCACAGACACTGTCTTGGGAATATAAATCCATGGATATTATGTAATTACCTACCCAGTTCAGAAAAAAGCTTGATTATAGATCTCCAGGTTAGATCAGGTTACATACAGCCTAAATTCCAAAATGTTAATTTCCCACGGGACCTGATTTTCTACATCAGTAAAACCCTCACAACACTTCTACGTATCTGCTGCTCGTTGCACAACTCTTTCAAACTAGCTCATCTTCAAAATAACCAAGAACTTTTCACAGATGTGTCTTCAGTGTTCACAATTCAGGCAGCCCAGAATTATAGGTGCATTTTAAGCATTCATAATGCTCTGAAAACTGAAGATATGTCGGTGCTGCCAGATGTTACCTTTATGGTGTGCTGAAATTATTTACCTGGCATGCAGAACAACTGGAGCTCAAGCCAACCCACTAAAAAACTTCAAGAAACAAAAAAACCCCGGCCTAAGTAGAGCTCAATTGTTAGGGCACAATAAGGGACCTCATTTCCAGTCACTATCACAAGTCAGAATGACACACAGATATCAGGCTTGAACACGAAGAGGTGTGCTGTTCTGATAAACTGAAATGAAACTTTTCTTTCTCACCAGCTAACTTAGCTCTCCTCTTCTTAAAAACAAAAATAAAACCTTACTGCTGACAGTATCATTCTTGGATGTCCACCTCCTTGTACACCGTGTAAGAACATCAATCCATCAATTTATAACTAATAATTCTGTTCAGCAGCAGAATGCCTGAAAGTAAACTAACTTAGGACTAACAGTGAGCATTTGAGCCCTGCAGCTTGAATACTGGTGCTTTTATTAGTGTTTTCAAAATGAGGTAATAGGTCTTCTAGCAGGAACATCATCAAACTGTCAGGAGTCTTATGGGAGTCCCATTAATATTTCTTCTGAACAGATGATTTAAATCATTATCTGGAAAATACAAGAAGTTTCACTTAGACTGATAGAAGACAGGACCTGGTGACATAATTATCTCTGTGTCTCGAGTGTACATGGGCTAATTGTCCTAAGTCTTATCATCAGGGAAAAGTGTTTATCCACTAACAAACTGCTGCATATTGCATAATCCAGAAGCATTTGACCATACTAAATACCTTATTAAAAACCATTCTGTTAAGCTTAACATTAGCTCACAGGCCAATCTCACAAAACTACAGTGAGTATTTACAAATTCAGGTACCTCTATTTAGCACAGACTTCTGAGCAGCTTTCCAACACTTATAGCAGTTTTTCAGTGTTCAGCAGACATTACTTTATTTGCCAAACAATATCAGACTGCAGAATTGCTCTTACTGTTGGTAGATCAATAATGACATGGGATAAGTCATTATCTCCGCGGCAACAGAATGGCAGCTGTTGGAGGAATATTGCGCATGTTGCTGCTGCTCCTCTGACAGGCAATGCCTCGGCTTCCTCACACAGGTGCTCTCTCTGCAAGCCTGGTGTGCCCAGGGTACCAACAACCAAGGGCACCTCTTCGACTACAGAGGATTAAGCTACAACTGTGGTTGGTTATGTTATACTGGAAAGAGCATACCCTCACATGGGTTTGTTACTCTTGAGTCTGGTGTCCTTGTGTCACTTATTTCTAATGAACCATCCCCTTGTAGAAATAGCTGGGACAAAATTCAGGGAGGCAAATACTAGAGCCCTGTTCATAGCTGAATATTTTGTTGAAAGAAAGCATTTAGCTGTCTTTAAGAATAGAAAGATATCTTTCTTTTTAATCAATTTTGATTTCATTCCACTCTGACTCCCCAGCATCTAAAACTGGCAGGAGCCTTTGATTAAAATTACAAAACAGACCACTTGGGCTGTTACACTTAACACTTGTTATGTCTCTTTATATTAAAACAGTTTAACAAATAGAAAAGCACACCTATGCTCCTCATAAGTTACTGCAGTTCCATCTAGCACAAAGTGGACACATTTTTCCTCATATTGCACAACCTTCGCCATGTTAATCACGACACATTAACTGCAGAAAGCAAACACTTCTCTGTGTCTTTATCAACACAACTGAGCCTGGTTTGCGATGTTCTGCTGAAATCAAAATGAACTGACACACAAAATACACAATGTTCATCAGCTACACAACATGTGAACTTGGCCTTCAAATTAATTGTAGAAAGTATTTCTTCATAAATACATCTACTTTCAAATAGTGCAGCAACACTTTTATTATTCATAAGCTATTGACATGAGATGATAAAGTGCAAGTTTGGCACAATTCCCTTTGGAACGTGTTCTAATTAAATTTAAATAAAAGGCAACAGAAGTGATGCCTGAGGGTGATTTCATAAAAAATGAAAACAAAGTTGTCACTCAAGCATCATCTGGATACCACAAAAAACAAAGCTAGGCAAGCAGTCTTCTGAATGCTGAAGACAAGCCAATCTTGTTTGTAAAGCTCTCACAAGAGCAGAGCCGGATGGAAAAAGTTATATTCCTTACAAATGCAAGTAACGACAAATGGCCATTAATATACCAAAACTCTGGATATTACAGGTGCAATGGAAATTAATACTCAGAAACACACTTTGACTTGTTATTTGTGAGAGACTGTATTTCAGTACAGAGGAAAACTTTCCAACATTTTTCTTCTACTTACAGGATGGGCCCTGTTGCTTCAGGAGACCTCCATGTTCTGCATCAAGTTCTTGGAAAGAATAAAGGATCTGCCCCGGAGCTCAGGCACAGCTGGCTGCACAGCAGGACATGCTCCAAATCCAGCACTTCCCTGGCTAACGTTCAGCAGTTCTGCCCGTGTTCCAGCACCGACTGAATCACCCTTTTGCACGGGCAGCCACCCAGCCCAACCTCGCTCCCACCTCTCCATCCTGCAGCTGCAAAGCTGCTCGAGTTCCCCCCCCCAGCACTAAAGCTGAGCATGCAAGGAACGGCTTCTTCCTCAGTGATACAAATCGCCCGCTTCATCCCACCAAAAAAAAAAATCAACCAAAACAGGGCAACTGAACGCAGTCAAATCGACCCCTGGGAACGGCCAAAGCCAGCAGGGAGGCAGAGCCAGCCAGCACTTTGCCAGCTGCTCACTTAAAGCCTCCGCTGCCTATGGGGACAGGAGGTGCTGACTGAAAGGTCCCACCGCTGCCTCCTCCGAACCTGACCGCGCCTCACCGCTGCAGCCTCGCCCCGCACAGGCGGCCGATGCGCCAGTGCAGCCCCTCCTGCCCGGATCTCCCTTGGCCCTTCAACACCCCCGGCCCCAGGGAGCTCCACCACATCCTGCATCAACAAAGGGCCGGCAGGACAGGACCCAGACCCAGCCCAAGGGCAGGCGGCGCCCAAACACAGCCCAGAGCTCCCCGCAGCCCCTCGGCGCGCCCTCCCGGTTCTGAAGGGAGCGGCTGAGTACGGCGGCGGCCGCCCGGCAAGTCCTCCTCCGCCCCCCGCGGAGGGCACGGGAGGCCTGGGAGGGGAAGGGCGGCACATCCATCCCCCGGCGGAGGGGAAGGGCGGCACATTCTCCCCATGGAGGGCCCGGGCGGGGGCGGCGGCCCCTGCATCCCCGACACCACGAGCGTCGGCAGTACCACCCGGAAGCGGAAGGAACCTCACGCCGATCACGCGCCCCTCTGCGATTTCCCTATAAAAGCCCCGCCCCGAAGCAGTCTGACCAATCGCGTCCGCAGGGAGGGCGGGATCAACCAATCCGCACTAGATTGACAGCTCCGTCCCCCAATGCGGTCGCAGCGGCTCGGATCCCTCCGCTAGGAAGGCGAAGCCGCCGCGGGGTTGCTGGGCGGGATGAGTTTCGCTGTGTCCTCACGCTATTGGCTGTTGCCGCTGATTGGCGGTTCCTTAGGCCTATCCGGAGGGGGCGCTCCGCGGCGGCCGGTCCCTGTCCCCACCGCTGGGCGGGCGCTGGGGGTGCGGTGCGGACGGTGCGGCGATGAGCGCGGCGGTGCGGGCGGGCTGGCGGGTCGGGGCCGCCGCCGCCGCTCTGCGGGGCCGGGCCGGGCGCCCGCTCAGCCAGGCGGCCGGAGAGGGCGCCGGGGCCCAGGGCGGCGGGGGCGGCGGCTCGGGCTCGGGGTCGCGGGAGGCGGTGGAGCGGCTGGTGCGGGAGCACCCGGTGGTGGTGTTCATGAAAGGCAGCCCGGCGCAGCCGCTGTGCGGGTTCAGCAACGCCGTGGTGCAGATCCTGCGGCTGCACGGCGTGGAGGATTACCGCGCCCACGACGTGCTGCAGGACCCCGACCTCCGCCAAGGTCAGCGCCGCGACGGGCCGGGGTCACCCCTGCGCGCCGCCTCCCTCCCGGGCCGGCCCCGGCTCCGCTGTGGCGGTAGAATTCCCTGTGGGAAGGGCCCTCGGGAGGTCGGGGCTGCCTCAACGCCCCTGGCCGCGGGCAATGTGGGAGCCGCGGGGCGGCCCCTGCCCGCTGGTCCCACCTGTGACTTGCCTCTGCTCGCTTTTGGGTGGGTTGGGTCGGGTTTGGGATCTTTTGTCAAGGAGGCCCAGATCGAGGGGAGGAGGGAACGGAGCTGGGGAAGGGTCTGGAGCACGTCCTATGGGGAGCGGCTGAGGGAGCTGGAGGTGTTCAGCCTGGAGAAAAGGAGGCTCAGGGAGGGCCTTGTCATTCTCTACGACTACCTGAACGGAGGTTGTAGGCAGGTGGGGATCGATCCCTTCTCCCAGGCAACAAGCAACAGGGCAAGAAGACATCGTTTTAAGCTTCGCTGAGGGAGGTTTAGGTAGGACATTAGGAGGAATTTCTTCGCAGAAAGGGTGATTTAACGCTGGAATGGGCTGCCCCAAGAGGTGGTGGAGTCACCATCCCTGAAGGTGTTCAGGGAAAGACTGGATGTGGCACCAGTGCCGTGGTCGAGTTGACGTGGTGGTGTTGGGTCATAGGTTGGACTTAATGATCTCAGAGGTCTTTTCTGACCTGATGGATTCTGTGGTTCCATCTGTGTGTTAGTGGAATTTGAAGCATATCACAGAGATGTGCCATTGAGGTTGCCCTGCCCAGATGCCCAGGTTTGGTTTCTGTGACACTCCCCATGTCCAAGACATCCTGGTTATCAGCTGAACACAGTTCTGTGTGTGGGGTGACTCTTTGAGATCAGGCTCTTCCTGCCATGCTGCCTTTCCTAGTTCATAGATACAGAGCTGTGTTAGAGACCTCTGAAATACTTTATCAAGTTTTGTCTTCCCTGTAAACAGCATGGTGAAATTTCATGTGTGGCTTGGACTGGTACTACTTGATTCCCAGCTGGTACTGCCTTCTGGGCTTCTTTTGATAAAGTAAAAAGTTATGCTAATCATTTGCACAAGAAATATTTAGTAATAGTTTCACCATTACTGCTCAAGTGGTACTAGCTATTCTGTATAAGAGTTTTTTGCCAGTTGTGGAAACTCTGTTCTGGTAATGCTTGTCATCTTTCCCTCTTCTGACTGTTGAGGTTCTATGTGGTTATTTGAAAAAGTTTTAAAACAAAAAAAAAAATGCATGTACATAGTAATTAGTCTTGCAGGTGCATGGCATTAACGGTTCTTGTCCAGAATACACTAAAATGTGCTTTAAAGCCACATGCTGACATGTATCAGGTGACTTTCTTCTCCTGTGTTTTTAGTGTCATCTGACCAATTCAGTCTTTCATTAGTTCTTAGCTGAAAGGCTGATTTTTCTAGTCCTTGTTTGCTTTTCAGTTCACAGGTATAATAGTTGGTATGGTATAAAAGCTTAGCTACTGGAATTTCTGTGTGATGACATATTTTGTTAATGAATGTTGGTTTTGTTCAAGTAAATCCTCTACTGCCTTTGGCAGGTGAACAAATTATGATAGTTTTCTAAACGTTATTTACATATCTGAATTTATTAATTGTATGGTTTACTAGAACAGACTCATAAACTAAAAGGGAGGAAACAAAACCTTGAAATCAAACCATCAGCATTTCCCTTTTGGTTGAGGGGGCTTTTGTGAGCCCTTGAATGAGCAATGCATTTGTAAGTTATAGTCTCTGGGGACTTGACCAGATGAATATATAGTATTTTCTTTGTATGTAGCAGGAACATCTTCCTTTTGAGCACTTTAAATTTCTTCTTTACATGAATTTGGGCTTGTGCTGAGTGTTCCCAGAGCTTATTGCTCTCATGGCTACCAGAGCTTTAAATTGAAATTAGTGTTTTGATTCAAACTGTTTGGCTAAGCGATGAATGCAGTTATGGAGCGTACACTTGCACAATATCCTGCTGGTTCCCAGGTGCTTAAAGAAGTTGTTCTGTTCCCTTCCATGCACCAGCTTTGGCACCTGTCCAGCTGTACAGAGGGCCAGCTCAGTTTATTACCTGGAACACTGGGTGTGCAAGATGAACTAGCATTTTGTACTGCGAGCAGAGACAGCACCAAGAATGGAGCCTTGAAGAGCTGGGGAACAACACAGCCACTTTCAAGGCCAGCAGACTGTTGTACTGCTTCATCTGTATTACCTACTACACCCTAAAAAGCCCGTATGTGCCTACTGCTATGGATGGCTGTCTCTTACAGGAGAGGACAGCTCTGCTCAAAGCTGTAGTTCTGTAAGTTGCCAAGTGTAGTTCAGCAGTTACTGCTTGAAGGCCAGGATATGGCCTCAGGTGTTCAAAAGTGACCATGATCTGCACTGCATGGTAGTGAGTGAGGGGCTGCAGAGCCTTTAGCTGTGAAAATATCAAGGACATCAACTAGAGACTGATCTGTAAGGAGATTGCTGTATGTGAACTGGCCACTAGCTTTGTATTCACCTGAATCTGACTTAAGGGTTGGCCTTTATCTGTGCTTATACATTTGCAGTAAGAGCAGACTGTTGGAGAGATGGTGATTCAGACAGATCTGAAGTGCTTGTTGGTTTCTTGTCTGTATGTATTGAAACACCTTATTTTTAGGTAGTTATAGTTCAACTGCTGGAAGATGCCCTGTGCTAAAATATGGCAGGCTGTAAAAGCAGTACAACTCCCCTACTTGCCTCTTCACCTAAAAGCCTGCTCAGATCTGTGAAACTAAAGTTACTGGTACTTCATGTGATTTATCTGAACTTCAGCTGAAGATAAGCTTCCCTGACACAAATCCTTCTTATTAAAGCTTGGCATGCTCTTGGACTCCATGGCATTTCAGGTTTCTTGAAGCTGGCTCTTCCAGAAGTTATCCATCCTGCTCTCAGCTAATGGGCAGCATTAGACTGGTTCAGGTCACCAAGGTGGCAGAGAAGCTTGAGATTACATACTAGAAAAGTGTGGTTTAAACTAGTTTAAACTGTTGTGGTGGTTCACCTTCAGGTTATTTTCACTGTTGCCTTACCAAAGCATGGGATGCTACCAAGCAGGTGGTCTTCATACTTGCTCTCACCCTTGTATCAGCCTTTCCTTAGTCATACTTGCTTTGGAACAGGCTGCCCAGGGAAGTGGTTGAATCTCCACCCCTGGAGGTGTTCAAAAGGTGTGGATATGGCACTTGGGGATGTGGTTTACTGGTAAATGATGGTGCTGTGTTAACAATTGGACTCTGTGACCTTAGAGGTCTTTTCTAACCTTAATGGTTCTGTGATCTCCATGAAAACGTTACTTTTCTGGAGGAAGTGTGGTAGGAATGAGTGTTGCTTGAGTCAGTTCTTTTATGTGGGCATCATTCATTAGTGCTAGTGCTGGCAAGAGAGGCTGAAAATTGGTAACTGGAATTGGGGAAGGGGATCTGAGTGTGCTGGGTACCCTTTTCAGTGATGCTTTGCACCAATCCTGGTTTCACAGTCACCTTAAAGTGTGCTGGCACAGCTGTAAACTGAACACTGGCCTGTGGAATGTAGTTTTCCAAAGCAAACGGTTCAGAGCAGAAGCTGCAGCTTCTGAAGCACAGCAAGTAAACGATCTGCAGGGAGGGGGATGGAGATCCCTTGGGATGTCTGTATTGCCAAAGGAATCATCACAAACGCACATCCTGAGTGCAGCAGGAGTAGCCAAGGCTGACTGGCTTTAACACTACTGGAGTAGTAACAGTAACTAAGGCAGGATTTGTGTGGCCAGCTGAGGGGGTGTTCAGTTTGTAATCTGATTGAGTCCCGGCACAAAGGCATTTAAAGCAGCTTGTCCAATACATGAAATGCAGCACATAGAGCAATTGAACTTGATCGTATTCTTGTTTTTATCTGAAGTTGATTGTCCTTGAAAGTACTATCAGTGCTTGTGGAGTTGGGTCCTTGAAAAAAATATTTCTGTGAAAGAATTATTGGTGTTACCTTGGAATGCTTGTTAGCAGTAGGTTTATTATGTAGAGCCCTTGGTTCTCAATTCGTATTTGGCATTGCAATATCTCAAGAAAAACAAACCCTATGTCATATCTGCTCTTTTGAGTACAGTCATCCTCAAACACGTCAATGTTGGAACTCAGTTTTTCATTGAAACTTATATGGGTTAAAAGACCTTTAGGACAATCTGGGCAGTTTTGAGTACTCAAAGGCCCAAGAGCACTTAAGAAAAGTATTGATAAATACAGGTTGACATCAAAGCTTAAAATTTCTGCAAATGGTATCTAAACAACTGAGAGAGGTTTTAATGAAATACTAAGGAAGAAGTTACAGGTGGTGATGAAGGTTAAGTTAGATGGTTATGAGTTCCCTTTGGCCTTGATCCATATGCTAAACTTGCTCTTTTGGGCTTTTGAAACATTGGTTGTCCACAGAATCTGAAGGCAAAATAGAATCTCTTAGCTGACAGTGTACTTTGTGTTTAGGAATACTTTGTCACAGCCATTTTTTTTTCTAGGTTGCTATTATTTTAGTGGATTTTTTTAAACATACTGATATTTTACCAAGGGGAATTATTAGCTCCGTTGCATCTTTTTATACATTAAAATAATAATCCCACTGTATATTTGCGCACTTAGACATATTTATTAAAAAGGAAAGCAGTGTAAGTTCCAATAAAATAAGCATAATTTACTTATATGGTTATTTTTTACCTGGAGTATTTGGGGGTTTATCTTTACAGTATTTAAAGGTTAAAATGTTTTCTAAGGAGAAAACAAGTTCCCTTGTGCTTTCAAATATTTGTTGTTAGTACTTTGACAACTATGCTAAAGCTGACCGGTTGTCTGTAGAGGGTTGACTTCCAAGGTGAACGGGCTCTGATGTTCTGAAAAGGCACCTCTGTTGTCTGTAGGCTTAACTTTGCTGTATGGGCTTTAATGCCTTTGGCAGAAGAATTCCAGGCATTGCATATTGAAAATACATAAAAATGTTGAATTCAAAACTTGTTATCTAATCAAATGCTGGTGGACACGGTATAAAAGCATGCAGCTGTAGGATTTAGCTGTATCCTCTGCTACAGAAATAATGGCTTTGTGTGAAGGGTCATTTAAAAAGTGGCAAATTAGAGACAGTGATTCTTCTGTATAATTTTTTATGTGATGCCTTTAAGTGCAAGCTGAGTTTCAATGTGCACCAGCCGATCAGTTTGTATTTTTGGGTGGTCTTAGATTTGTTTTCTAGGAAGTAAAGTTTTAAACTTCAATTCTGTACTTCATAATTGTGGCTCGATCTCTGTTTTCTTTAATGAGTACTTTTAAAGAGACTTCAGCCTTTTTGCCCCTCCCATGGGCTGTAAGGTCTGGCATTGAAAGATAAAACAGTTTGAAATTCATAAGGCTTCTACAGGGTTGAAGTTGCAGTTGAAATTACAGGAGCAAGTATAACTATGAATTCAGTAAGAACACAAAGTATTTTAAAGTCCCTCTGGGAAACATAAAGCAAAGGAAAAAGTTATCAGTATTTTTCAATACTTCTCATTTCTGTAATTGATTGAAAAATCATATTTGCTTGTTTCCTCGGAGGGAGAAGAGAAACTACATTTTTCCAGCTCCTGTTTGAAGTCAGTATAGGAGCTGACTCCATATCTTTCAACCCACGTCTTTGAGTTGGAGTGAGAACCAAACATAACTCTAACATAGTTTTTTTTTCTGATACTGCTCTTGTTATGTAGATAAATTTTTGCCTTAATGGGAAAGAAAATATCAGTAGTACTGTCCTGGGGAAGCAATGCATTCCTTTTAAAATACCATTCTATTCGGAGAGGGGGAAAACCTTTAATACTTTTTTTTTTATCTTATGCAGGAATAAAAAACTACTCCAACTGGCCTACCATCCCACAAGTGTACCTCAATGGTGAATTCGTTGGTGGCTGTGATATACTCCTCCAGATGCACCAGAATGGAGATCTTGTAGAAGAGCTGAAGAAACTAGGAATCCGTTCAGCGCTACTGGATGCAGAGAAAGACCAAGAAAAAAAGTAAAATGGGCAAAAAAAGAAAAGTGCTGTGACAGGAATAAAGCAAATCTTTGATGAGAACTTGTTACCAATAAAGCCTTACGTACTTTAGGTCAAAGAAGGCATCTTTTTGAACTGACACTAAATGAATGTCTCTTAGCTCATGGTAAATGTAGTGATCTTGGTATTATGATTTATGGATATTGTGAAAATTTGAATATAACCACTGCACTGTATAACATACGTTTGTGGAAATTGTTGTTTTGAAAAAAAAGTAGTTCACTTCTAAAGCATTCTCTTCTTAAATGAGGTGGGAGTAAACCAAAAGAACTAATAATATTTTTATGAATTTTGAGTGTGTGTTTCTCTTTTCTTTGATACATGAACCTACACAAAGAGCATTTCATTCCCTTTCTTCTCTTGAAAAAGCGTTAAGTAATAGTGCATCAGTTTTTCTGTATAACTCCTGGTGATAAGACTTCCTGAAAGCCTGTAAAACTTGTGTAATCACATACAATATAGGAGAAAAACAGTTTTCCAACAATATAGGAGAAAAAAATTATGAGAGTGCATGAAATATGCTTTTATTCCAAAGGGTAAAAATAAACAGACCTGTACAAATACATGTATAGTGGTCATTATTACTTTGTAACTTTCTGATGGCTTTTAAAACTGCTAAGCATTGTGCCTAAATATTTTATAAAACCTTTTCTACCTCTTGCAAAGCAGCTTTTCCCCCTGCTTATATAATTTGTGTGTTGTAGTTCTGTGTTAGTGCTCAGATGTGGGAATTGTTTCAGGCTTCAGTATTCTAGCTTGAAATAGTACAGGAGAACACTTCAGTTATTACTGTAATCTTGTATTATTTGGTAGTTACTAAGTTATCTTTTTATATGTTTGTGTTTCCAAGTGTTTTCTCTCCTGACTGCTGTGCTTCAAAGAATATAGTCTTCAAACATGGAATTTACAGATGAAATGTTCATGTGGATAAGATGAGTGCAGCAGACAGGCTACTGAATAGATAAATATTTCTTTGTGGAAAGTCTCTGAATTGTCTATAGCTATCTAACTACATTTCCCTAAGTGAAAACAAATTGTGTTAACCAGTGTAGCTTCAGCTCTATAGCAATACTGCTAAGGTTATAATCTAACCAAGCTGTTTCTAAATGCAGTTTTATTAATATAAACCACTTTGCATGTGAATTAAGCAAATGGTTGGAAATAAACTGTATTTCGTGTTGATTGTCTACAATAGTTGCTCTTTATTTTAAATTACTAATGAAACTG